GCCCCAGCTGCCGGAATATTACCGTTGTTTCAGGATGTTTTTTTTTAACAGTGCATGTACAATGAAATTGTAAAATTGTGTGTGTGCCACACCAACCATGCCGGCATGAAATATAAATAGTAGACAGCAGGAATCCCTTTTTAAAGAGAGAGCTATTAAAATAAACTACCACTTTACTGCTAAGTAAAAGACACACAGAAAAAATTAATAAAAGTTAAAATATGAAATTGGTCAAAGTCCGAATCGCTCCCTCTGACTGCCTACTGCCCCCAAACCCTGTTCCAGCCAGATGATTTCAGCTGGCCTCAGACTGGTATTAAATACTTGGGCATTACATTCCCCCCTTTGATATCTAACATGTTTCAGGCTAATTTTGAACCTCTATTGGACAAGTTCAGAACCAACATAATTAGATGGTCCCCTTTGTTTCTCACCCTTTTGGGCAAAGTTAACATCATTAAAATGAACTGTGCCCAAAAGGGTGAGAATGTAATTACTTACTACAAACACTACAAACACTCCTGCTAAAAATCCCATCAAAATATTTTCATCAATTTGACAAGTAATGTCCTAGTATAAAGCTTAAAAGGCTACATCAACCAGTCAAGTCGGGTGGCCTGGGGGTCCCATATTTACTATTTCACCATTATGCTTTCATTCTGAGACACATGGTTAACTGGGCTCTCCCTCTAGAACAAGCCCCCCCCCTCCGATGCTCCGATGCTCCGATGCACATTTAACCACCAAGCTCTCTCCAGATATACAAACCCCTATTCTTTGTTTTTGCAGACTGTCTGGAAGAAGGTGGCTTTGCTACTAAATTTTAACTCCAGAGAGGGATACTTGTTCTTGGAGACCTGTATCAGGGGAGACCTCTGAAGTCCTTTAATTACCTTAAAGCACAGTTTCAGTTGCCTCCTTTCACATCACCTCCAACTATTGACTATCTTAGCTAAAGCAAGAAAGTCTTCGGGGGAGGTCATGAGGTCTCTAGACATAACTCAATGCTTGTTAATGGCACGAGTAAAGGGCTACCCGTCCTCAGATTAGCTTGGGAAGTTGACCTTGGTGTGATTTTTACAGATCAGGAATGGACTACAATTTTGCAAAATAGTAAATAGATGTCCAGGGAACTTAGAACAAGACTAATCCAATTCCAATTACTACACCAAATTTACTGGTCACCACACAGACTGTACAGGGTGAACCTCATACAGTCCCCCGAGTGCCGGAGATGGGGTGGGCACATTAACCCATATGATTTGGAGCTGTCCTAAAAACCAAACCTTTAAGACTGAGATGCGTGAATTTATCCATTCAACTATACAATGGGATATTCCTTTAACAGGCACATATACTGTATCTTTAATAGCTTTACCTGGGTTATTTGTTTCCAAACTTCCCAGAGTGTGCTGCAGAAAAACTGTAGGAGAAAGCAATTTTATTTCAACAATGACAACAATGGCAACTCACACATCTGTGGGATTTCTCTGTTCTATGTTTCAGCCTATGATGTTGATGTCAACATGGCACGACTGAAGGGATATTTTGAATCCAACAAGATTCCCAAACTGTTGTTTCAGTCAACTGAATCTAACTAAAAATTAAAATATAGGAAGAAGGCACAACCACTGTCCAGATCAGCACTACCATTGCAACACAACCAGCAATACCATCTTTTGTTCCTTGCTATACTTCTAGATCCTGAGAGCAAAGGTTTTGCTCTAGATTTCATGGCGTTAGAAAGTATTTTATGGTTGTCATTTGTACTTAGAAACATACAATCAATAATGCTTAGAGATATATAATCGTTTGCATATTGATAGAATGTCTGATCCTTAGTAGTCTGCAAAGACTGTGTGTGTTCCAGAGTGCTCTGGCATACACACACATCCTTAGGTCATTAGAGAGGTTGTACCTTCTCTTTCAGATGTAAACTGTACATGTTCATGGCATAATTACCATGGTTTTCTTACACAGAAAATAACCAGTGATTTACACGTCATGAGAAAATAAACATATTGTAGTGAATCTTCTATTGTTACTCTAATAATGGTCATCCATCCACTGTGTTCCGCTTATCCTCGTCAGGGTTTGCCTGCTGGAGCCTAATAGGGCTCGAGGTAGGGTAGACCCTGGACAGGTCACCAGTCTATCGTAGGGCTAAAACAGAGAGACAGACAAACATTGTCTCCATCCCCAGAATCATCAGTTAACCTAACACCCATAACTGCATGTCTTTGGACTGTGATAGGAAGCTGGAGTACCTGGAGAGAACCTGCAAACATGGGGAGAACATGCAAACGCCACACAGAAAGGCCCTGGTCAGCTGAGTCAAACCCAGGACCTTCTTGCTGTGAAGCAATAGTGCTAACCACCACCGTGCCACCGTGTTACCATATGGCCATAATTTACAAAAGAACTTCATGTTTTCTTTAGTAGATCCTGGCAAATTCAGCGTTCTATTATTTTCATGACCAAGACAAGAAAGTATTTGTTCTTGGAGAACCTTCTGATGATTTTTCCTTTAAGTAACATATGGACTCACAAGGCGTAGTGTGAAACTGTGTTGTGTGTTTTTCTATATTTTACACTTTGCACCTCTGTGATATACTTTCCATTACAGTCCAGTGAATATATATGTTATATCCAGACACTGAAAAGGAAGGAAAGAAGTTGATTGTCCTGCTCTTCTGAAGTATGTCTGTCTTTTTTGGGGGGTACAAAACTCTGTTAATTGGAAAAGCAGTTGTGGTGATTATAGTTTATTTAGTTAAAATAAATGAAGATGAATAGAAATCAATGTACTATTAAATGTATTATTATGTTTCGCCAGACTGTATTTTATTTTACTTTGCTTATTTAGTTAGTTCACACTCATGTTGATAATTTACATTTGGAGAATTCTACATTTTTATTTTAAAAAGAGTAGAAAGTTTTATGAACACTCTAAGGAATACTAATGAAATGAAATATATGGAACCACAGTTGTGAACT